CCCTCTTCCTTCAGCTCCTCTGACGAAGAGCTGGAGGAGGAGCTGCTGGGGGTCATGCCCGGGCGGGCGCCTGCCAGTGCCACCTGTGGTGCCCTGGACTGGTCCGTCTTCGACAAGGACCACGACCTCTACCCGCGGGGAGGCTCCTCGCACTTCGAGTTCCCGGACTATTGCACGCCCGAGGTGACGGAGATGATAGCAGGGGACTGGCTCATGTCCAGCATCTCAGACTTGGTCTTTACCTACTGAGTCCCACGCTCTGCAGGTAACACTCATTTTTATTTTCACCCACAATCAGGTCATATCAAAAAACAACCCAGGAAACAAAAAACAAACAAACCGAAACCAGCTGTTTACATGCAGGAATCAGGTATTTTGCCTTGAAGCTGCTGGAAGGCAGAGCCCCTGCTCCCCCCACCCCCGGCACACACCCATTCTCCATCCGTCTGTCTGTCCGGCTCTCGCCTCGTGCCCGCAGGACGCATGGCCGCCTGCCGCGGTTATTTGCCCGTGAAATGCATCTCATCGGGTTTTCATTGTCACACCCGGCCGCTTTCCCCCACGGCCCCGGCGCTGACAGCCATGGCTGCTCCCGGCCGCTCCCATCTGTGCCAGCACCGTGTGCCCTCCCGCTCTCCAGGAAGCAGGAGCATCCACGCCACCCCAGCTCTCGGTGCCCACCCCACCTTCCCCATCCCTTGGAGAATGGCTGATTCCGTTTGGTTTTTGACTGCATAGAACGCATGGCTTCAATTCTCTCCTCTTCCTCTTTGCAGCCCTTGGGGAGGGATGCCGAGCCATGCCAAACTGTCCCTTCCCAACTCCCTGTTTTGTGAGGGGTCCCTGCTTTGGGGGTTCAGTGTCCCACAGCAGTGTCTCCTTCCCCGTGGCGCGTGCTCCCCGCCACTCGCTTTGGGAAGAGTGAAGTTGCACACACGTGACGAGCACGTGGGCGCGGGAGGCTGTGTTGTTTCTCTCGCCAGGCAGTTGTGCAGGGAAAGCTGTGCCACGGAGGGAGCCCCTGTCCAGAGTCACCCCAAAATTGTACGGGGACCAGCCCTTCACTAAGCAGCCAGCCCTCATTTTAACCTTGGAGCCTGTGCCCGTGCGGGACCTGCTGTGGGCTGGCTGACCTTGGCCGGTGGAGCTGGGTGTCACTGTGCCCAGCCGTGGCGTGTGGTGCTGCCGGGATGGCAGGGAGCAGCATGGAAGGGCAGGGTGGCAGCGAAGGGCAGCTGCGGGAAATCTGCCTTAAGCAACCACCCAAACTGGTCCAAGAGCAGCAGCCGCCAGTGCTGGTGGGTGTGTGTGGTGTGGGTGATGCTCTGGCGCAGGGCTCCTCCACACAGCACCACGCTGGGCTCCGCTGCCGACCACGCCAAGAGCAGGGACATGCTGGCAGGGAAGATGCTGCTGCAGCGGCTCCTCCAGCTGGGATTTTCTTTGCTTTTCCTAATGGCTCCTTCCTGCGACAGCCGCCTCCTCCCACTGCCGGGAGCACGTGGCTGCAGTGCTGGCTCGGCAGCTGCCGCAGGCTGTGGTTGGGGGGGCAGGGGCTGCACTCTGGTACAGCTGTGCTGGGTGGGGACCCCACACATCCCCGGGGAAGTGGTCATGGCTTGGGCTGGCAGCACCTGCAAGAGCTCTACTGGGCTCGGCAGCAACCGCTGCTTGAAGCAGCCCCTGCAGTCCCCCATGACCCCGATTCCCCAGGCCCTCTGGATTTGCGGGGGCCCCTCGGATCCTTCCCTGCCAAGGGGGTGCTGGCTGCAGCAGAGCACCCGCTGCTTGGGGCTCTGCCTCCCTGTTTTGGGGCTGCCGGTCCCCCCAGTCACAGGCTGCCCCGTGCCTGCCCCTTGCTGTCAGGCTGGACTGAGCCGTGACCAGGGGAAGGACATCCCCCCTCCCATGTCCTGCCATCCCCTGAGGGTGCCTCGGAGTAGGTGCCTGGCCCTGCTGCTGGAGCTGCTGGTGGCCCTGGCTCAGCCGTGGGGAAAGGCACTGCAGCGCAGGGAGAGGCGTGTCCCTGGGCACTTTGCAGGGATGCTTGATGTCCCCCAGCCCAGTCCCTGGGGACCCCTCGAGGCCCCCCGCGATGGTCAACCATCAGCAGTGTAGATGTGTCGGTGTGTAGCGGTAGCTGTGCGTGTGTGTTGGCATTAGCCACGGTGTTTCGGTACCCCCGTGCGGGTGCCAGCCTGCGGAGCCAGGCGGGCATCACGCATCAGACACGTGTTCCCTGGATAGAGCGCGTCCTCTTCTCTGCGTCCCCTCCCTCCCCGGCCGTCCCCCACCGGATCCAGTCCCGCCCCCAAAGGTGGAAAAGCCAAATAAGCGCCGGGCCGGCCGTGATTCTGGCAGCCTGCTCCCGCCTCACCGCCGCCTCGGGGGACTTTGCCTTCCCACCCCCTGGGCAGCCCCGCTCCAGGAGCATCTGAAGCCGTCTCCCATGTGTGAGCCGGGTTCGGGGTTCCCGTGGGGTCCGGCGGCCCCAGAGCTCTCTAACACACACGGATCTCACCCAGCACCTCGGTGCCTTCTTGGGGTGCACAGCCACCCCATGCTGTGGCCAGGGCTTCTCAGGGAGGGCGCTGAGGCTGACAGTCACCTGCCCTCCATCCCTGTCCATGGGGAAGCCAAAGCCCCCAGGTACCAGCAAGGCCTGAGGCCACACTGAGGGTCTCGCATCTCACGTGTGCTTTGCTGACCCTGCAGCTCAGGGCTCAGCTTCCGTTCCTAGGGGGAACACGGGTCCCAGTGGTCCCTTACATGCTGTGCATCACCCTTGAGCCAGGGTGATCCCTCCACAGACTGTCAGGCGAAATATTTCCTCAGGAGCAGGTTCTGGGTCAGTGCCAGAACCGGAGCCAGTGCCGGGGTCTCCTGCCCTGGCCGCAAGCACAACATCATCCGCTTTGTCCCCGTCCTCACCCCTGTCCCCCTCCTCGAGTCTCGCCGGGTGTGTTTGTCAGGGAGAACCGTCGTGGACAGTGGTGGATTTTCTGTGCTGTGTGGTTGTAGTGCTTAGAGACCCCCCCAGCGTGCGGCCCCCTCCCGCTGCGCCCCCGCTGCCCGGTGCTGGCTGGCATGCGTGTGCGAGCGTGTGTGCGTGCGCGTGCGACATCCCGTCATCACTCCAGACAAAGCGAATAATAATAATAGTAATAATAAATAATAAAAATAAACCAAACCTCTCTCAGGAAGCAGCTGCCCTGGCGGTGGCCGAGTGGGCCGGGGGTCCCCGGAGCTGGCGGGGCCCCGACGCAGCCTGCGGATGGGCGCCAGCGCTCGGGGTCACCTTTGTAGTGTTGTGTTAGTGAAGGGTCCCTGTGTCTGTTATCTTGGAGAAACAGGATTTTAGCCGAGGGGCAGTGACGACCCCGTCTGGGTCTGTCTTGGGGTTGTGACATGGCTGGCCCTTGCTCTGCAGAACCTCGGCTAACAATGATCCTGACTGTTGTGATTATGGAATAAAGTGTGTTGGTCTGCTCCGCATGGCTCTGGCTCCTTCTGTGCTGCCTCACTCCTCCCAGGGGAATTTGGGGTACCCAGGGCTATGTGAGGTCTCCAGGGAGATGAGGGATTCCCAATGGCCAGCATCCGGCTCCCAGGTGTATCAGTTCCCACCCTGAGCCCTGGTTCCTATGGGCTCTCCTGCAGCGGGGAGGTTCACCCTCATCAGTCAGTGTGGGCTGGGCGTCCCCGGGAGCAGTGTGAGCATGTGCATGTGTGTGCACGTATGTGCAGCACGCATGCAGCCCCTCGCCCCACCCGTGTGTGTGTGGGCAATCCCGGCGCCGCCCCCGACTCCGTTCAGCCGGGGGAGGGGACCGAGGGTAATCGGGGAGGGAAGTGGAGAGGGAGGGAACCGGGGCTGCTAATCCAGACCCACGGGGGGGGCCACGGGGTCACGCGCCACTTGCATCACACCCAGACCCCCGCCCCCAGTCTCACCGCAGCTGTTGCCACGGCAACAAGAGGAGCCCAGAGCATCCCCGGGTACTGCCAGCCCCTCCTGCTGCCCTGGCGCTGCTGGGGACCGGGCTGTCCCCGAGGGAGGGAGAAGTGCAGGGGTTGCCCGTGCCACGGTGACCTCCCCAAGTCTGCAGGCTGCACCCCCGGGACAGCCCCCAGCACCGCCCGCGGCCTGGGCGGTACCACAGGGGCAGCAATGTTCCAGTGTGGTGTCACTGCAGCCCCCGGCAATGGGATTGTCTCTGTGCAGGGGCACTGCTGGGAGCAGGGGGGACCATGGGGCAGCCACAGTCAGAGCTCACTGGCCATCACCACTGCCCCCATCACTTTGGTAAGGTCAGGGCCACACGGGGCTCTTGTCTACTGTCCAACATGGCCCACACAGGCACATGCACACGCTGCCACTGGCCTGGTTGAGTCACATGCAGCAGTGGCCTCTTGGCTACCCTGAAGATGTCACATACCTCCTGCCACCACTCCTCCTTCCCCGCTGCTGCTCAAAGGGTGCTCCTCTCAAAGGGATTCAAGCACGGTTTAGAAAATGGCTCCTGGAGAAGCCACAGGCAATTAAAAATAGCCAAGAGGGTTGCCAGCCTTGAGCCATCCAGACAAAACTGCTTCCAGCCTGGCCAAGGCGGCTGCATCACCCCAGCTCAGCGGAGCGTGCCCTGGGATTGGGCATTGTGCCCGGGATATCCTCCTGCAGCCGGGCACCCGGCCTGGGGTACAGGGCAGGCGGGCAGGTCAGGCTATTTCCAGCCCCACGCTGCTGATGGGGGGGACACCCCAGAGAGCCAGCAGCACACACAAGGCCTGGCGTTGGCCCAGAGGGAGGCAGATGGATGGAGAACAGTGACCGGGGCACGCACACACCCTTTGGCTCTGCTCCTGCTCCTCTTCCCACGGGGCTGCTGGGTGTGAGGCCACACTGAGCTGGCCTGGCCACCGCAGGGAAGGTGCCAGTTCTGGGCCCCAGGGTGCCACAAGAGCAGATCTGGCAGCCCTGGTCTGTGGAGGGCAGGAAGTGTGTTTAGTAACTGTTTATTTTACAGTTTTAGGGCGTGTAGAAATCTGCATTTACAGGGGGTGTATAAGTCTTTGTACAGAGTAACTGAAGCACCCTGGACTCCTCCCAGGCCCTTCTCCCCCCACTGGGGACAACACAAGAACTAAAGTGCATCATGGCCAGGGAATGGAGGGGCTGCAGGGGCTCCTCCTGGGGGGCTCCAGCCATCCCCTCCTTCAGCGTAATGTACAGAGCAGTCCTGGGCCCTCCAGCAGCACTCCCAGGTCACCACACTCTCCAGTGTTTTCTAAAGTGCCAAGTGACCCAGCCTCCAGTCCTGCTCTGGGGGTGCCAAGGGGCCAGGAATGGGCTCTGCCTTCAGCCACACTGGGAGGAGCCCCCTGAGCAGCCCCAGATCTCTCCAAGGCCACTGGCACCACTGAGGAGAGGAGGGAACAGGTCTTGCTGCCTGCCTGGACAAGGGCAGTTTCACTCACTCCACATTTCACCTACAGAGGCTCTGCTTAGAGTTTCATGGGAACACAAGTCAGGAATGAAAACTGCCCACCTGCCCTCTGGCCAGAAAGGCACATCCCTTCCATGAGCAAGGGCCCATGGGGCAAACCAGAACACACCCAGGGCAGTTATGGACCAAGAAGGGTGGGAGTTGGGGGTGCTGAGCTCTCCAGGGCATGAGTTTTCTTCTCTATCCCAAAATCCCTTCAACCAACACCTCCTTTTCAGGTGTGCAGCCCCTGGGCATGGCACAGATGGCTTTGGGCACAACAGAGCAATGATGGGGCAGAGGGAGGGAGCTGTGAGGGACAGGTAAGGACACTTGAAGGAGATTTAGCAGCTTGGGGGAGAGGTAGAGGCATAGAGTGTCTATTGGCTCTGTCTCAGTGGGACACTGAGTTGTCTAGAAGGATTTGCTGCTTAGCTTGGAGGGCAGGGAGCGCTGGGACTGCCAATGGAACTGATGGGGAAATGGGAGCTATGCAGGGGTCAGGGTGGCCTTTCTGGGAAACCCCTTGTGGTATTTCCAGAGGTGATGCTGAAGCCTGATCAGCCTGTGGGGGAGGTTTTTGTCACATTTCCTAGTGCAACAACTTCTATCCTGTGCAAAATGTTTCACAAGGTGGAAAAAGCCTTTCTCCATGTGGGCATGTTAAGGTCCACTTCCAGAGCTATTAAAGAAGTCTGCAATGGGTGTTTACAGTGCCACTAAGACTTGTGGCAGCATAACCTGGCACATGACAATACACACCCTCAGCAGGGTGACTGCACTCGTGCTCACCTCACTGACCCCAGATATGGTCACAGTACTGCCAGCGCAGCAGTGGCAGTGCCTGAGAGCTGAGGGGAGCTAAGGTCTGCTCCTGGCCCCCACAAACAGATCAGGCTGCAAAGATGTGGAAGCAAAAAGAGCCAGGGAGTGTTACACACTGAAGAGAAGCTCACAGCATTGTGCTGGCCAGGGTATGGGAAAGGTTTGGCTCTGCTCACAGGGTGTCCACAGGACAGGGAAGAGCTGGAGCACTGGCAAAGCTGAAGGCAGATTGTGGGGCACACTGGAGCAATGAAGAGCCAAAGGGTTGCCCTGTTCCTCAGAAGTGCAACGCCCTTCCCCCTCACACACACAAGCACCCAGAACAAACCCTGTTGGACACCCTCCTCCAGGCGAAGATTTGCTCTCACTCCCACTAGTTTTCCCCAGTGGAGAGCACAGGATCATTTGGGCACAGCCCACACACAGCTCTCCCTCTGTACAGTCACCTGAGCACAGCCTGACCAGCCAAATTTGTCCATACCTCTGGTTTCTCAGGAGACAGCAGGAGTGCCTGTCTGCTCACCCTGGCACAGGGAGAGGGAAACAAGGTGAGCATGGTGTGGGGAACCGTCCTGCTGGGCTGGTTCCCTCAGTCTCTGTCACAAAGGCCAAAAGTGTTACTGGACGCAGTAAGAATAATAAATAGTCTCCAGACAGGTCGTTTCTGGACATGTCCTTCATCACACATCAGCCTTTCCTGCTGGGGATGTGACAGCAAAGACCCTTCCTCCGGCTTCAGGGGAAAATCTGCAGCTGGAACTTGGGTGCCCACTCCAGCGCGCTCTTCACCATGGCCAGGGCAGCTGCTCCCAGTGCCACCGTCAGCCCCATCACTGCCAGCTTGACAAAGCGGTTGGTCCGGGGCTTTGTCAAGATGGATTTTGTCCGCTCCTCCCCTCGGAGCCGCTCCTCCCCTCGGAGCCGCTCTCTGAAGCGTTGCCTCAACACAGTGTCTGGTCTCTGCTGCACTGATGCCAACTCAAAGTCCTTAAAAGTGGAAGCCGCAGTTCTGCAAGAGAAGGAACAGGTCAAGGAGTGTCCCCTGCTCAGCCCTGGGACCAGCCTCCTGTCAGGAAGATCTCCACAGGGAGGCAAGACCTGGCAAGGGGATGTAGGGAACACATGGGCTGTCCGGCACTCACCGTTCCGCCTGAGCTGCCTGAGCTGCCTCCTTGGCGAGTTCAGAAGGTGGGAACTGGACAAAAAGGTCGCCGGCTTTGCTGATCAGAGACTCATAAGGAAGGTCTTGTGGGATCTGGGATAGGAGGTGGTGGACAGAGGCCATGTCACACTCACAGTCCAGAACTTCCTGCTCCCGGTGCAGCACGATCTGCAGAGGAGTGAGAGGAGGACAGACAAGGAAGTGGGGACAACTCCTTGGCAGATGCTGGCACTTGTTTCAGAGCCAGAAGAAAAAATCACTTTACTTCCAGCTGAAAGACCTTCTTCAAGAGGACACTCTGCAGTGAAGCATTCACTGGGAAGAGAAATGCCAAACCCCTCTGAGACACTGAGGCCATGGGAAGCCTCTTTCAGGGTACTCAGGTCTGTCTGCTGAGCAGAGCCTGCTATTGGCAGGTTGGAGACGGGGGCAGAAACTCAGCAGGGTTTGACTTCATGACTTGCCCTCTGCTATAGGAGGATGGGCAGCATGGATGCACAGTGCAGGGCTGTCCCCAGCCAGCCAGGCATCCCAGTATGTAACCAGAAGGAGGACCAGCACATGAGAGGAAACAAAAACACTGTGTTGTGCTGCCTCCACAGCAGTGAACTGGTAAAGCCTGCACATTTGGACATTCTCAGGCTGCCCTGAGTTCCCCTGCATCCCATCTGCCCTTTACCATCACCAAGAACATCAGTGACCTCATCTGCAGAGCAGGGTACAGCTGAGGACAGCACCAGCACTGGGTTTGTTAGCCTCCCTCTGCAGCCCCAAACTCCTACCACCTCAGAACAGCCCAGTTAATCCCTGAGCATTCCATCAATACCTACCACAGCTGCAAAATAAATGGGCATCAGCGGGTGGCAAGCCAGGAAGAAGTCATATAATCGCACAACGTGCCGGAAGTCAGACAAAACGTGGCCAAACCAGGTGATCAGCCAGCTGAGGGCAAAGATGGTTCCCACCTCTGCACTACACAGAGAAAGAGCCATTAGGTCAGCCTGGAAACAGGGATGAAATGCTCCCAAGCCAGCCCTGTGCTGCACTGCCATGCCTGGGGAAATATAGCTGGCCGTCAGTGGAGCACTGAACCCCACTAGAGCAGGAACTGCACCTCTGGCAGAAAAAATTGTTTATCCCCTGTGCCACCCCCTGTGGCAAAGTGCTGCCACTACTTGTGTCACATCCAGTGGGGGCCACAGCAGAGGCCAAACACTGCTTTCAGGAGACCCTGAATGTGTCATGTATCATGCCACTGTCTGGCTTGCTGGCCTGAGGGCAACTGAAGTCCTGCAGCACAGACTGATGTTTGGGTTCCTTCCTACCCTGAGGGCTTACTAATTCTGGGAGTTTGCAATCAGGGTTGGTACCCAAAGACATTCTGGCTGTGAAAAAAACCACACACCTGCCCAAAAAAGGGCTCTGAACTCACTCTTCCCATTCACCTTCCTGCTTCTGATTTGATCTGGCCAGACATACCTGTGTATCCCTAATGCAAAACCTGGTAATTATCCCCAGAACTAAGAACAAACTACAGCAAGGTCCCACCAGCCACACAAGTGGTCACATGAAGCAGTTGTAGCATTTGTACAACACTGTCCCCAAATCCCCAGCCCACCAATACAGAGTGCAGACAAATGGGCTGAAGATGGCACCATGTAAAACCTCTCCAGACAGGCATCCCAGGTTTGAGCCTGCTCATAAAATGAGTGCCACATGCCTTTGGGGTGTCACCATCAGCTGTGGGACAGCTGTTGAGTCCCTGAGGAAGCCACTGTGGTGCTGAGGATGTGTGGGTGAAAATGGCCCTGTGAACAGTAACTTGAGACAGGCAGGGGAGAGCCAGGAGGCCCTAAGGGAACATTTGCATACCTCTGCAGGAAGTCATGCACCTCAGGGTTCACCTGGTCTATGATGGGCATCAGGTAATTTAAAATGTGCTTGGTATTATCCATCGTTTGGTCCATAAAATCCCTGAGGAAAGATTTAAAAGAAGCTTTGTCAAGCAACAACGTCAGCAAGCTCTCCCTCTAGGGAGGCAGCAGAGGGTGAAGCACATGCAATAAACAGCCTTGCTGGCAGGGTGGCCCCCAACCCCAAGGAATTCTGTCTCTTTGGAGCAGCCTCCTTCCTGCTTGTCTGGGACACACAGGGCTGACCTGCACACAGAACCCAAGCCCAGACCATCATGCTGCTGTCAGCTGACACTTCTTATTTTGATGCAGTGCACACAAGAACTGTAAAGCCTTTCCAGTACCCAAAATCTGACTCCTGCCTGGGAGAGGAGAGATAATCCCTCCAAACCACACTCTCCAGCTGGAAGCTTGCTCTTATTTCAGTGCACAAACAGGAAAGACTCTTCATGTGGGGTACAGGACACTGGTAGTACAGACCATGCTGCCCAGGGCTATGCAAGGACAAGTGGGAGGCAGGAGCTGAGCCAGCCTCCAGGATGTGGAGAGGCCCTGACAGCCACACAACCATGGATAAGGCATGTGTGTTGGCTTTTCCAACTCCAAGAGATGCTACAAATTAACTGACAGCCTTCAATTATCCTTTCCCCAAGGCACAGCTCCCTGCAAAGCCACCTGCTGTTGTGTGGTCAGGCTGCTCTCAATTACCCTCTGGGTACAGGCATGACAGGCAGCTGCTTTAACCCAAGGCTCTGCCTTCCCAGCTCCCCTTCCAGGCCAGCTCTACCTGCACAGGCGTCCCCACAGCCTGAGGACATGCAGTTGGCTCCTCTCTTCCCACTGAGTACCTGAGATGATGTGTTGAGAGCTTCTCCACCAGAGCTGTGGCCAGCCTGTCCCCCACCACCAGGAGGAAGGTGACCACGATGTCATGGTATCCCTGGTAGTAGTGCAGCTGGGGGTTGCGCTTGAGGACGTGGAGGATGATATCGATGAGCTCCTCCTGCAATCCTTCCCTCTGGTCATCTGGCATATCTGTGGGAACAAGAGAGGTGGCACAGCTGTGTCACCTACCAGTGTCTGCTGTGGGAGCAAGGAGAGCACCTGTGCATTTATGAACCTGCCTGATCCCAAGGGATGTGGTGCACAAGGGGAGGGTGGTAAAACTGGCAGAAAAAACTATCTAAAGCCCTAATGCTGTCTACCAAAACTCTGCAGGGGAATCTGGACAGTTGCTGAGAGGTTTAATCTTTAGATCTGCAGAACCCTTATCTGCAAGGAAGCTGCTGTGGAGGACGGGAGCAGGGTTTATAGATGTTTGCACAGTGCTGCTGTGAAGAGAGAATTGTTCTACACATCCAGCACAGAGGAGGATGTTTTAGTAATTTTTAATTTCCCAGGAGTTCTAGAAAAAAAATCAACAGGACCCATTTTCACAGAAACTATGCCAACTGCATCAAACTGCAAGGCCTCCACCAGCACAACTTTCTATCAGTCCCCTGCTAACAACATGTGTTTAGGGACAGGATGTCACAGGAAAAACATTGTTCCTGCCTTGCACAGCTGCAGCCAGTTTCTGGCAGCCCTTGTCAACAGATAAAACACCCAAAGGCCAAGCAGAGAGTCCCAGTGGAGATCCCGCAATGACAAAGTTCTCCTTTTCCTCTGCTTCACTAATGCGGCTAAAAATAGGCAGGAGGCTGCCATTCAAGGGCAAAAAGATCCGTAGGAGCAGAGCCTCCAGGAATCAGGCCTGCACACAGCATCCATGCCTGCAAGAATCAGAGTGAATCAAGTGTTTATACAAAATAAAAGTGGCAGAAGGGGGAGGCAGATTCTGCCCAGAAATAACGACTGCTCTGCACAGAGAGCTGCTGGATTTAGCATTTTATAAATAACACAAGGCACCAGCCTCCCATCAGAACTAAACAACTGCAAAACCATTTTGCTTCTAAATGCTTTAAGTTCTGTTAAATTTGGTGCAAGAACCTGATTTTGAAACTGTTTTATACCAGGGGTTGTGGGTTGCTCTAAGCACAGACAAATCCGCCTTCCCTGCCCCTGAGCTAGACCATGGACTAAAATAAACTGAAGCAAATGGCATGTTTCTCAAGCTTTCCATCTGTCCTAATCTCAACAGGTCATGGTGCACAAGATCCATGCAGGATCCGTCCTCTCTCTGCTGCAACTGTCTGCCAGTAGCAGCCTCCTGGCAGAGGGGTGCAGTGGGGCAGGGGAAGTGGAATGTTGGAAAAGCCACCTCAAAAACCATCTGTGCAGAGACAGCTGGAGGAAACTGATGGCTGCAGAAGGGCTTCACTGCAAGAAGCAGCTGCTGGGAGCTCACACAGAAAAAGTTTTCTAGAAGTCAGGCCCTTAGAGTAATAATGGAATGCCACCTTCTGCAGCCTCCCAGGGAGGTGTGAGCCAGGAGGAGCCCCATGGCATTGCTCTTGTCCCTACAGAGTGGGAAGAGCAGAACCCCCCTCACCTGGTGGGAAGCGGCGCAGGGATCGCCGCACATCCAGTAACACTTGCTGGTAATCCTTATTGTCCTCTCGCAGCTCCTTCCTTGCTGAGAAAAAGAGGAACAGGATTAACATGAAGCACTGCAGTGGTGGGAAGACAGTAAGGTGAGGGAGCTGGGAAGATCCCTGCTGAATGTGGACATGAAGCTGCACACATCCCCTACTCCACTGTGTATCCCCTTTTTCATGTCCCACCTCAGTCCTGTCCCTGCACTTTCACTGCCACACATTCTGACACTAACAGCAAATGAGACAATTATTTCTTTAGACAACACATGTTAAAATGCTTAAACTGACAGCAGCACTCCTAGAAACATCTCTGCTACACAGTTTTGCTGTGCAATTCAAAGTGTACTCAGCAGCAGCACTGGAGGAGTGCTGTGGAGACCATAAAGAATAATTTATAAAATAGAAACAATTCAGAGCAAAATCTCACCCAGGGTTAGCTAAGACAGCTAAAGAAACAGAAAAGTTCAGTGAGCCAGCAAATGCCTTCTATGTGATCATGTAAAGTTAAACCTTGTCTTCCAGCAGCTCTGGTCACCTCACATCACCCTAATGCCACCTGGCTCTGGACTGAGGTGGGGGGATGCACATTTCCAAACCTTCACAGAATCAGGAACAACAACAAAATCTGTCTGGGGGGGACTCTAAAGCTACAGGACCTAGAGCTCCTGCATTGCTAAGGTTTAAAAAACATATGGGTACTTCACCAGGAAGGTTGTGGTCCTTGTGCCTGTTCTGACCAAAAAAACACGTGAGCTTCACACAACAAACTGCTGCCTGGGAGAGACACATCGGGAGAATTTTGGCCACACCAGGGCTCAGCACAGCCACCTCTTCATGGGAGCAAAACAAATCAAGTCTGATTCTTTCTACTGCAGGTGAACTTACATATGTCAGCTAATGCTCAGGGCCATGCTGACTGCATCAACAATGAACTGATTCCATGACTATCACTAAAGAAAACAACAAATGTTGTTTTTAGAGGTCATGTATTGTTTACATACAACACAGTATTGGTGCTGTAGTGAATCCCCTTTGTACATGAGCTTAGTGGGAAATACAACACACACAGGGAAAAGGCAGGTCAGAAAGCACGTCCCTCCTCTAGGGGCAAAGTTCACGGAGCCGTTCCTCCCAAGCAGCTGAGTCCAGGCTGTCGCATACCTGGAAGAGGGGGCAGGTCGTCTGTGTTAACACTGAGCAGCTTTGGCCACACTTTGCACCGGATCTCGTCCGTGAGCAGCCCGCCCTTGCTGATCGCCATCCGCCTCAGCGCCGCCACGTCGATGGGGTCACTGTTCAGAGCCCGGTAAATCTCTGCCACTTTTCTTTTCTTCTTAACATCAAAGTCTGCAAAAGGTCACAGAGACATGAGCTGACAGGCAGTGACAGCACACAGTGGGGGCTAGCAATAGCCATTCACAGTGATGTCACACACACACAAGGGAGATGACACAGGACAGTCACCACACTGTCAGGACAGGGATGACTCTGGTGGGGACCCCTCCAGCTGAGTGTCCCCATTTCTGCAGGCTCAGCATTGGGGGGCACCTCAAAGGGAACTCTCACTACTTCCCTATCCTGGGGGTCCCACTGTGGGGGGCAAATGCTGCTCCTCCTGACACCGGAGCCACCACCAGTGCCCAGACAGAGCAATTGGCTCCTGTCCTTCCCAACGGCTCACGGCTCCATACAGGATCAAGACAGCCCTGCAAAGCCATCCTGAAACTCTTTGCTCTCTGATGCAACTACCAGCTCAGATGTCAAGCGCTTCCTAAGACCAGGACTTAGGAAAGTGTTCAAAAAAAGGTATGGAAAGTGTTCCCAAAACTGTGTTCCTACCGACTCCCAGGTGCAGCCGTCCTAGGAAGAAGCCTGAGTATTTCCACTGACAGCAACAGACATAAGAAAGGACATAATTATACCAGAGTTAAAGAATCGTAAGCACATAGACTTGTCCTACAACAAACACAAACCTGCCAGCCATCAGTACACACACAGCTCAGCCAGTAGGAAATAATTCCCACTGTTTTGAGGAGCACAGGAACTCGGGGCAGGGAGGGAAGGGGCAACACACAAAGCACACAGTGCTCGGGTTAGACACACTTACAGGACACCAGAGTGCTTCCCAGGGAGCGGAGAAGGGACATTACTTCACACCACATGGTGGAATTTGTCACCGCTGCCTCATGTGAGGAAAGAAAGAAGCAGCCGAGAGCCACTCGATATCCCACACTGGAGGAGTTCCCAGTAAGGAGGCTTTGCTGAGCAGCTGTGGGACTGGAGTGCAGGATGAGGCCACAAACTCTGCCTTTCCCTAAAGGCTTTTCCCATAGATGCAACAACTCTTGGGATCCGAACAGGATTCGCTCTATAAGGGACGTGTCCAAATAAGATTTGGGGCGGGAGGAATTAAAAGGATTTCGATGGAGAAACAGCTGTTTCCCAAGGCCGCGCCCTCCCGGCAGAGATAGGGGAGCTCGTTCCTCTGCACACGTGGCTCCTCAGCCACTGCCCGGCCCTGTTCCTGCCAGCTCCTGGCTGGAAGTGCAGCTCTCAGCGAGCTCTGAAGGGAACCAGCAGGTCGGCAGGCTGTTCACACACACGGATGCTAAGTAGGTCGAGCAGTGGATGCTGTTTCTTCTCAAAAACCCTTTTAAAACACTTCTTGGATCAAAACAAGCTGTAACAGCCTACGACAGAGCTCCAACTCCTCCGAATTCCAAGATCCTGGGAACATTAAATCTCCTATGGCTCACACAGTGACTACAGTTTCTTTTATTTCCTTTCCGGCCCCTTGTGCAAGCAGAGTTATTTGCACAACAGAAGCCAGCTCTGCTCAGCCGGTTCCCTATTCCCAGCCAGTTCCCTACCCCCAGCTGCTCCTGATCCCTGCCACACGCACACACTGGGCTGTCACATACCGATGCCTCGGGAAGGAGGAGACAAAGCCTAAGGGAGAAAGAACTGTTCACACACAAAGAACTTAAGGAGTAGTGGGAAGGAAGAAGCACATCTTGCGGGCTCCTCCTCTCAAACTTACTAATAAAGACCGCAATATTTACACTTTTCAAACACACAGGGGACAATAGCTGCGAGTATTACCAAAACCAGTGCACTGCAAACAATGTTTAATGCTACAACCACAAGACATTAACTCGCAGGTTCACCCTAGGAAGAAGAGACACAAACGCAAGGTGAGGGCGGTCTAAAACCCAGATGAGTCCGTCGGTGGTTCTGCACCGCTGCAGGCACCGGGCACCGACTCACGGCCTCGCCAGGTCTGGCCGGCCCGGCGCTGCCGCAAAGCCCTCGGTCAGTGCCGGGGACCGCCCTCGGGCATCAATCGAGCCGCGGCCGCACAGCCGCAGGGTGGGCCGGACCCTTCGCTCGGTGCCGGGACCCCCGGGACCCCCGGCTCCCCCGCCCGCTCCCGTCGGGGCGGCGGGCTCTGCGCTCCCCGCGCCGTCCGGTCCCGTCCCGCCCCCGCCCGCTCCCCCCGCCCCCCGCCCGCCGGCGCGCGGGCGGGACGTCACGGCGCCGCAGTGCGCAGGCGCGGCGCCCCTAGGCGGGTCGCACGGGCTGAGGCAGCCGCGCATGCGCGGACGGGGGCGCGCGGCCTGGACGTACCTCCCGGAACGCGCGACAGGGGCTGTTTAAAACCAACAAAAACCAAACCCGAACCCTCCCCGGTGACCGCCGGACAGGGCAATCCCAGCGCTGCCGGGGCCGGTAACACACCCGCAACGGTGCTGCATGCAGGGGCTGCTGCCGCCATGCAAAAAAACCCCGTAAACCCTCCGAAGTCCCCGTCAGCGCTGGCAGACACGGCAGCGGGAGGGAGAACAGGAGCCCGGCACTGCTGTGAGGGCTCCAAAGCCCCTTCCGTGCACAGGGGTCCGTGCGTCCTTGTGCAAGGGCTGACAGGCACTGCGGCCATCCACCACTCCCAGTTTCCTCTTCCATTCTTATATCCTTTTGCAAACCTCCCTCGCTTGGAATAACGAAAGAACTGGGTAAAATGTCCTGCATAGCTCAGAACCAGTGCAAACAAGCTGTATTTTGTCATACTGGGTGCTTTTACGGTACAGCACATTGAGGTAACAGTCAACACAGTCCAACTTTCACATCACTTTAGGATATAAAAGATTAAGTACAATGGATTTCCACTGGATGAAGGCATGGAGGAGAAAGCTATCCTGGTGTATGTGAAAAACCTCATCTCCCTGCCGGCAATCCTCACAGAAAAGGGCAGTGTTCCATGTCCCACAAATCAGTTTAATCCAGCCCACATGCCCCATCCTAAAATTAACTAAGCAACGTGGAAGCACATGTCCATCCTCTCCAAAGAGCAGAGGAGGGATGGGTGCCTGGGACAAGCAGGAGCTGCAGGCCAAGGCGTCAGCACCCACTGAGGAACGCGAAGATCACTCAGTGTCCACGGGAACAACTGCTGCAATGGCTCTGGGATGAGAGGTCACTGAAAGGGACAGGTGCCATTGTGCCTGCAGCCACACCAGCTGAGCCAGCCTAGCATTAGGTGACTGAGAACAAGTCACAGAAATCCAGTGAGTTGCAACAGGCAAACAACTAATAATTGGTTCATCATCTCAATTCCCCACCATCATGGCTGAGACAGGAGGGTTTTTTTGTTATGGCAAAAGATCCTTCTCCCACGAGATAACTTTGGCTTAGTGACATCTGTGTAAGGCTTCTCTGCACTGCTCCCCATGGGTGTGACAGGGACATGGCCTGCCCAGGGCACATGTGGCTGTCACCACTCCTGTGTCAGTGTATGACCACCCCAGGGAGGCCTCTACACAGGGAACTTAAATCTAACCTCGATAAATAAAACCAAATGTTTATTTACACCAAAGAATTCCAACACTGGATCTTTCACATATGAAGGACAAAGTATATATACACAGCAAGGGGTAGCAGGGCTGTAACAAGGGTGCTTTTCCGTTGTCAATGATAATATTTGTCCACAATTACTGATCTACCATTTCAGTTTAAGTTAACGTCTCCTGGCTCCTTCCTCTCAGTGCATATTTACAAGACTGTGAGGTAACTGGTATTCTCACCACATGGCACGTGAGGGAGGGGATGGTGGGTGAAGATGTGGGATCGGACTTGGCGCAGTCTGATTTTTCCAGCTTTAAGTAGCCACCAGCTCGAAACCTATAGAAACAATTTAAAAACAATATACCCAATAACAAATTAATTCCAGAGATCCAAGCCAAGCAATGGCTGGAAGAACCCTCCATGAGAAAGGGGCTGATGAGAGCAGGGCGTACTCTACAGGAGCACCTGTCTCAGGAGGTGCCAAGGACTCCAACTGAATCAGTAACTTCATTTTTAAGACTAAAATTACATGCAAGGGGTGAGTTAGCATTCTGGTTGACTCCTAAGGAGACATTATCCAATCCAATTAGGGTTTTGGACACTATCTGCACTTACTCCTTTTAAGCTTATCCCACCTCTCCCTACTGGAATTGTCTCCTCAGTGTACCCTGGCTGGGACATATGCAGGACACGGGGTTCAAGTGAGTGGTACTTTAAGAATCCCCTCCCCTGCCTCATGAAGACTTGGTTTGGTAGTCTCTGGAGAACAGCACAATCCCCCAAGGCTTGTGGAGGAATAATGGTGGGAACATGAAGAGAAGAGATTTCCAGCAGGATGCAAGAGCTTGGAAATGCTGTTGATTCATCTTTGTTATTACATGAAGAGTTGTTTTGCTGCTTTGTTTAGTTTTTTTTTTTTTTTTTTTTTTTTGGGAGGGGTGGGGGAGGGGGAAAGAAAAACTGTCCAAGAAGTATTCCATCTGTAGGTATTTTCAGGGAATCCCCTGAGTTACGAAAAGTTCAAGTAAAAAAAGAAAAAAATCAGCCTATAATAATTTTGTATATAATGACTGAACTACTATAAATCCACAAGCAACAGTTCAGACACGGTGTCTCCAAAGCGTTCATCCCCTCCCTTCCCCTGCCAGGCACGAGCTGCGTCCTGAGGAGAGGTGGAGGGGGAAACCTCTTCCCCACCTGACTCAGCTCAGGCAGCAGGAGACAGAGCCCGTCACTACTGCTGGGCGCCCGCAGCAGCTGGAACCGGCATCCCCAGGGTGGTGGTGGCAGAGATGACGGGTGAGCCTGCTAGAGGTCCAAGGGGTGAAGGTGTTGGCACTGAAGAAATCCCTGGAAGAGAGACAGGTAAGCGGGAATTAGAGTAAAAACAGCACACTATCCAGGACAGCTTCTGAAGTCAAGTGGGAGCTTTGTGGGTCAGTTATGTTTCCAGAGCTGCCAAAGTAATTAAAGAGATAAAAGATCTGTCACTATTCTCTGCAGCTCTGGCAAGGGCACGGATTTGCACACCCCTGAGTGTCACTGACGGGCAGAGATGTGGCAGGGTCACAGAATGGTTTGGGTTGAAAAGGTAACCTCATAGCTCCTCTTGTTCCAACCCCCCCGCCATGGGCAGGGACACCTTCCACTAGACCAGGCTGCCCCAAGCCCTGTTCAACCTGGCCCTTAAACAAATCCAGGGATCTGAGCCAAGGGGTGAAGGTGTTGGCACTGAAGAAATCCCTGGAAGAGAGACAGGTAAGCAGGAATTAGAGTAAAAACAGCGCACTGCTATCCAGGACAGCTTCTGAAGTCAAGTGGGAGCTTTGTGGGTCAGTTATGTTTCCAGAGCTGCCAAAGTAATTAAAGAGATAAAAGATCTGTCACTATTCTCTGCAGCTCTGGCAAGGGCACGGATTTGCACACCCCTGAGTGTCACTGACGGGCAGAGATGTGGCAGGGTCACAGAATGGTTTGGGTTGAAAAGGTAACCTCATAGCTCCTCTTGTTCCAACCCCCCTGCCATGGGCAGGGACACCTTCCACTAGACCAGGCTGCCTCAAGCCCTGTTCAACCTGGCCCTTAAACAAATCCAGGGATCTGAGAGCCACAGCTTCTCTGGGCAGCCTGTGCCAGTGAACTGTCCTTCAAGCTGCTGCCAGAAAATCGCCCGCAAAGAAATTCTTAAAATGAGACCAGAAAAACAGGTCAGGCTGCCCAAGGCCTTACTTATCAGACTCTCCCACCCACTTTGCAGCTCTCGTTGCCCTTGTCCCCAATCCTGGGAGATGACCCAACACCGCCCTGCCTGCTGAACTCTCCCTCCTGGGTCCTCCCACCCACCCCACAGACAGAACTGCTTCAGCACACCAAGCACCAAGTCGAGCTGGCAGAACTGACCTGACATCATGCTCGCACTGCTGACAGGAGTGCTGCCACCCGGCATGTTGGACGAGCCCATCCGAGCCTGGTCTTTCACAATGGGGTCTAGGAAGAGCACACTACCAGTAAGTGCTGTGCTGCCAGAGAGCTGCTGAGGCACACAAACTGCCTGTGGCCTCTGTGCTCAGCCAGTCCTGGCACTCTGCCTGTTTCAAATAACATCAACCACCATCTATTGAAATACAGACATTTCCACCAACGCCAGTGAGAAGCACTCAAGAAGGTACCAAGGTCATGTGATATCAGGAAAAATCAGCTAAATTATATGATTTGGGGTTCAGCAGGACTGTCTGACAGGAAATAACAAAGGTTATTACGGCAAAGTTGATCTTTCTGTGCTAAGCAACTGTGTAATTGCAGAAAGCCAAACCCAGAATATGGGTGTAGCAAGCAGAAAGATTATCAGTGATTACAATCATGTGTCATGTCTCTGTACACATCCTACATCTCTGTGAGCTGTCAGGTGTGTCACTAGAACTTGTCTTCCATGAGATGATCCCAACTTACTAACTCATTACTTTCAGCTGCATGTAAATAAGATTCTCACCTGAACAGGGACAACCCCTTCCTGCCTCCCAGCCCTTCTGTGTCAGACAAGGGAATTCCAAACTTTGCTGAGCTCAGCATTACATGTATCTTTTTGTGGACACAAGTTAATGAACTGTTTGTCCAGCTCTCACATTCCAAGCTATTGGCTTCTCTAATGCTCATACCTGCAAAACATTTCCCTGGGATTTTTCCAACAGGTGTAACACAGATCAACAGTCTGTTAATTACAGGGGTCCCTTCAGCAGCAGCTAAAAAAACCCCAAAACCAAACCACCTGAGCAAATATTGACATAATGCACTGTTGCAGCTGCTTCAAACCCCTAGATATCAATATCTGTGAAAAACAGCAACTATTTAAAAGCATTTATTAGTGAAAGTAACATTTCTGCTTGCAAAATCAAGACCTGAATATAGCAGTAGTTAAGCAATTTAGCAACAGGAGTTAAAATTTCTGTTTGTCAACAAACCAGAATTTTCTGGGTTTATCCAAACAGAGGAGTCCATGCACACCTGCAGAAAGCAGCCCCAAATTTAGGAGATTTAGGTGACTTTCCTTGATATCACTTGCTGATTCATGGGCCTGACACAGGCACCCAACACTGATTCTTTGGCTGGTGGAGGTGGCACACAGACACCAGCAGACTCAGTTCCAGCACAATTATTTGCAGACCAGACTTATCATTGTTGCCATTCTCTGTTCCCATCTGCGCAAGCCATGGGAACAGAGATTTCCCAGAGGCAGAACTCTCAGGACAGCAGCTGA